AATAATAAAAATAATAATAATAATATATATAATAATATTAATAATAATAATAATAATAATTATTACTTTATATTATTTTATATTTAAAATTTTTATTTAAAATAAATAATACATAAAATCCATAGTTTTTTATTAAATAACCTAAAAATATAATATTTTAATAAAGTAGTTTTAATCTATATTAAAGTACTTTTATTTTATTATATATTTTTTTTATATATTTTTCTGATTTTGTTCAAATCCATTATTTTTTTTCAAAATATTTTTTTATAAAATAAAATGTAATTAAATGTGCAGATCCGCAAAGAAAACCTTGAATTAACGGCTTTAAAATGGTATTTTCTATTTATTCTTCATTTTCTGTTGAGAATAATTATTTAATTTAATTAAAATCCATACTTAATTGTCTTGTAATTAAATTTTTTTTATTTTTATTACTTTATTTATTTATAATTATATATTTTATATCTAAAAATTTTTTAAATTTATTTTTATTTTATTAAAAAAATATTAGATTTATTTATATAAAGGTAATTTTTAAAAAAAAACTTATTTAATTTATATCTGTGTATACTTAGAAAACTTTATTCTATTTCTAATTTATATATAAATAAAACTACATATTGAATATTATTATTATTTATTTAAAAAAAATATATAATTTTTTTTATTATTAAATATAATAATGTTTTAACATTAAAAAATATTGTGTTTATTTTTTTTTTATAATATATTAAATATAAACTATTTAATATTGATAATATATATAAAAATTTATATGAATAAAAAATTTCAATATTTAATCATATATATTAAAATTTATTTTTTTATAATTAAAATTATAGTCATTTTAATTATTTCTATGCTTTAAAATTACTTAATTATTCAACTCTATCTAAGAATTATAAATATTATTTCTATATTTATTAATTATCATTTACGTTTTCAATTTATGGACTTTTTTATTCTTAATTAATTTAAAATTTTTAAAGATTTATATTTTATTTTTAAATATAAGTCTTAAAATCAAGAACATTATTTTATTTTTTATTTTTATTACTTTAAAAACTAAAACTTAATTGGCTGTCCTATAAATGTTCAAAAGTAGGTTTTTTAGTTAAAATACGAAATTAATTTATAGGTGAATTATATTATTAACTGTATGTTTAATTTATACTATTGTTTTCTGTAATTTATCTTTCATTATATCGTTTGAATTGTGGTGGATATATTTATTCAGAAACTTAGGTACTTTAGCTTTTAAACCTTTAAGGAGTTTAAATAACTGGTAATTTTATAATCTTTTCATCAATTGAATCAGTGTTTTTTTATAGGGAAACATATTACGAAGGATTTTGTGAAAGTGCATGAATCATACCTTCTTTTGTTATTGTTGAAGTTTTTCCTCTAAATTTTTATTGAAAACTACTCATTTTTTATATTTTATTATTTTTATTATAATAATTTTTTTAGTATTTTAATTTTACCATAAATTAATATAAATATTTTTAATATAATGTTTATTTAATAACACTATTTTTTTTTTTTCATATATTAATTAAAATATATTAAAGCTATATATATTTAATATTTATTGCAAAAAAGCAAAACTTATTCAAAAATTAAAAATTTTAACAATATGAAAAATCTTAGAAATAATATAAATTAATATTTTAATAGCTTATAAATTAAATAACAATAATATTAATTTTTTTTTATATATATATTAATAAATAAATAATGAATATTAAAAATAAAAAAATTATAAACTATTAAAATATAAATTAAAAACATACAAAATTTATTTTTTTCTATATGAAACAATTTACAAAAATAAAAAATTATTGATTTGAAACTTAATATAAATAAATTAATATAAAATATAACCAAAAATATATATAAAATAATAAATCTTTAAACAAATATAAATAAAAAAAATATAAAAAAAATGTAAAATAAACACGATTTCCCTTCTTTAGGTGAATAAGAAGAAGAAATAACATAAAAAAATAAAAAAAAGCAATAAAAAAATAACACTGTAAATTTAACTAACTTACCCGATTTTTTAGGTTGTTATTAATAACCTTAACAAAACTAAAAATTTACATACTAAAAATAATCGCAAAATGATTAATATTAAATACACAATTAAAAACCGCAAAATAAAATAAAAAATTAAAATCGTCCATAGACAGATTAATAAAATTATAAATAAAAAAATAATAATAATTAAAATTAAAAACAATTAAATAATAATAAATAATCTATTAATAATTAATAATTATATAATAATGAATATTAACAAAAATTTAATAATTAATATTAATAATAGTCAAACTATAATTAATAATAATAATAATAGGAATAATATATACCCAAAAAGTAAATATAACAACAAACATAATAATAATATGAAGAACACAAATAACAAAAACAACAAGAATAATATATACATAAAAAATAGCTATAATTTAAACCATAATAAAGTTTCCAAGAGTAAAAATACTTCGAATAAAATTAATAAGAAAGACAATAAAATAATAATAATTACTAAAAAAAAATAGAAGAATATAAACAACCAGAAGATCAATAATATTATTTAAATGAAGATCGCATATACTACTAACATAAAAATGCATTCCAAAACCAAAAACAAAATTCTTAAAATTTTCCCAAAGTACTCATGGTAACTGAAAAACCTTCAATTGCTAAAACACTCGCAGAAGCCCTTAGCGATGGCTCTTCAAGATAAAGGCAAGGTTATAGTAAATACTTACCCGTACACGAATTCTAAGGAAATATTTTCAATTAAAACGCATTTATTAGAATTACATCTGTTGCAGGACATGTATACAGTCTAGATTTTACAAGAGATTATTCTAATTGGGACCGAACAGATCCTATAGGTATAAAAAAAAAAACATATCAAATAAAATAATAATAATATAAAAGAACTATTCAAAGCAAAAACCTAAAAAATTGAATCGAACCCATAATAAAAAGTAATAAAACACCTTGAATAAGAATCTAAAGATTGCTCATATTTAGTTCTCTGGTTAGATAACGACCGAGAAGGTGAAAACATATGCTTTGAAGTAAAACGTATATGTGAGCCTTAAATGATTAAAGAAAATACAAATAAACTATAAACACTGAGAGCTAAATTTTCTTCTTTGACTAAAAAAGATTTAAAAGAAGCATATTAAAAAATCATTGATCCCCCAAATTTAAACGACTGTCTAGCCGTGGATGCCCGATAGATAATAGATTTAAAAGTCGGAGTCGCTTTTTCGAGATTTTAAACTACTTATTTTAGGAAAAAATATCCAGATTTAAATGAGAAAATGATCACTTATGGACCATGCTAGACTCCAACTTTGGGTTTTTGTGTAAGAAGGGAAGACGAGATAAAAAGTTTTAAGCCCAAACTATTTTATAGGCTACTTATATAATTTAGGAAAAAGGATGAGTAAATAGATACTTAGGCAGTTTTTGAAAATGGAAATATTTTCAATTAATAAGAAGCTAATTCACTTTTGACAAAAATTATTAAATAAAAAGAAGGATAAGTTTTTGATGTTTTCTCGGAAAAAGGCATCAAAGGAAGACCTGAAGGTTTAAATACTGTCTAATTGTTAAAAATGGGATCTTCTTATTTACATTTGAGCCCTTAATAGACTATGCATGTCGCTGAAAAGTTATATCTTTAAGGATTTATTACTTATCCAAGAACTGAATCAACATCATATGCAAAAAACTTCCCATTTGAAGATATATGTAGAAGCTTATGTTAATTGAAAAACTCTTAAGTGTCTTAAGATGCATAATTATTATTCCGAAACGGTATATATAAGCCTAAATAAGGGGTTGATATTGGAGATCATCCGCCAATAACTCCCACTAATTACGTTCCTTCAAATAACTAATTAAGAAATGAAGAATCAAACTTATATGAATATGTCTGTAAACATTTTATGGCTTCGATTTCTGCAGATTGTTCTTTTATGAAAAGTTAAATTAGTATTAACGTAAATGGATTAAATTTTAAATGCACAGGAGTATAAATTATAAATAAAGGATTTATAGAAATAATGGACTGGATATCAATAAGTGAAAATAACCTTCCTATAGGTATACTTAAAGGAAATAAGGTAGAAATTACAACAACAAGATTAGAATAAGAATATTAAACTCCACCAGGTTATCTGACGGAAACTGAATTAATTAATTTAATGGAAAAAAATAAAATAGGTAAAAATATTATATATATATATATATATATATATATATATATATATATGTATATATATATATATATATTATTTATTTATAAAATTTATATTTATTTAAATTTTATTTTTTATTTTAATATATATCTTCCTATTTTTTTAAAGGTACTGACGCTTCTTTAGCTACACATATTAATACTATATGTGAGAGAGAATATGTTAAAATTTCTGGAAACAATAGATAATTAATTCCTTCTGATATGGGTAGATGTTTAATTAAAGGTTATCAATTAATCGATGAATCATTAGTTTTACCAGAAATAAGAAGTTAAATTGAAAACTAAGTTGATTAAATAGCTAAAGGATGTAAAAATTTTAAAGATGTATTGAATGAAAGTTTATAATTATTTGAATAGAAATTTAAAAACTTTGTATTGAATATTTAAAAAATAGATTCATTATTCTCTTCTTATTATAAGAATGTTGAAGATTAATTAGTCTAAGCCAAACCATTCAGTAAATGTGGATAATGTAAAAGATTTATGAAAATTATTGAAAAAGCCGGGAAGTTTTTTTGTGAATAATGTTAAATAAACCTAATTGTTCCGACAGGAGGAAAATATAAAATTGTTGGAGAAAAAGTAAATACATATATATATATATATATATTTAATTTATATAAAAAAAAAAAATAGTATTGCCCTTATGACGGATATTAAGTAGTTTTTTTCACTTCGGCTAATCCACCTAACGTATCTTTTGATTTATGTCCTAAATGTTACACTTAATCGCCTTTAATTGATAGTGATTAAGTTACTTGTTCTATATGTACTAATGAATAATGTTAATATTCAACTAATAATCGTGTAATTATTTTATTTTATAAAAATTTATTTAACGAATAAAGTATTTAAAAAATTGTTATTTATGTGAATTTGGGGAAATTGTACTAGAACCACAAGTTGCCTAGAAAATAGCAGTAATGTGTAATGAATGTTGGTGTTAATGGTCTATTTCTGCTAATATTAAAGATATTAAAGTTAATAAAAAATAAAATTGTTAAGTTTGTACTTCTTTTTTAGTTTCCTTTAAACATATTTAAGATAATAAGAAAACTGTTTAAGGTAATTAAGAGAAAAATAAACTTTAGAAAGAATTATATGAGAATGTTTGTTTTTTTTGTGATGAAGAGTTAAGCAAGGAATTAAAAATTACGTAATACACAGAAAAGAAGAATAGAAGAAATAGAAAACATACAAAAAAATGATTTTTTTTATCTTATATAATAAAGTAATATTATTTTAAAAAAAATATTTATTTGAAAAAAAAATCTAAATAATTTATTAATATTATTATTAAATTTTATTACAAAATAATATAAAAAATTAAAAAAAATAAATATATTTTATTACAAAATATCAATTATTTTTAATTTGAAAAATAAATAATCATTTTCCAAATCTATTTCCTGCCCCTTTCTCATTTTCGTCTTTCCAATCATCCCAATAACGTTTTTCTTCTTATTTTTAATCTGCAGCAGAATCTCTGTCTGAATCTTCATCTTCTTATTTTTTTTTTTATATTTCAGCTTATTTTTATGCTTCCTCCTATTTTTTCATATTAGCAATTTCAAGATCTGCTAATTAATCTAAAGTAACAGTAGGCATAGTAGTACCTGGTGTAAAAACCTATTAATTAAAAAATTATAAATTTATATAACTAAAATAATAATAATTTTATATATATATATATACTTGTCTTTATAATTCTTATCTAAGACCTGGTTATACACAACCATCGCAAATATATTTCCCTTATTTAGAATCAAACATATATGGAGTGGATTTTTCATCTGGTTTCTTTTTTATTTTATTTATTAAAATAAATAAATATCTTTTATTTATATATACGTATTTTATTTAATTACTGCTATTTAAACCATTTTAGGTTTAGGTAAAGGTTTACTCATTTATTTTTCATGTTCTGCTTTTAATTTCGGGTCTTTTTCAATTGCTTCTTTATATTATAGAATTTCTATTTCTTATATATTTGAACGTAAAGTATCAATTGCTTTGTACATGCAAATTTTCATTTATATAAAAATTGTTTCTTTAGCATCTTTCTCATCATTTAATTTTTCCAAATTCTATTTTAAACAAAAAAAAATTATGTATTTTATATATTTAAACAAACATATTTTTTATATTTTTATAAAATATTTATATAAAATACATTTAATTTATTTTCTAATGCTTTTTAATCTTTAAATGATTATATCTTTTCATCTCTTGTAATAGAATAATTTCCATCATCACTGAGATTTTTCCAATATTTTTTAAGCTGTTTTAAATATTTTTATAATAAAAAATAAAATAAAATAAAATTAAATAAATAAAAAATATAAAAATAATATATATATGTATAAATATAAATACATCTTTTGGAACTAAATCATAATGATTTAATAATTTAAGATATTCACTTAAATAAACTTAAGAAAATTCTAGTTTATTAAGCCTTTCTTTTATTATTTTACCATATACCTATCCCATATAAAAAGGAAGAAGTAAATATTTAAGATTTTCAGGTTAGATTTCTTCTAATGATTCATTAGCAGAAAATAATGAATTACTAATAATTTATTTTTGTAATTTAGAAAAATCCGAAATTGTGCCTTCATAAGACACTATTCCTTAATCACTACCTGCTTCTTCGTAAGTGAAATATCTTTTTTGTAATTTAGTGAATTCTTCAGATATTTATTCGGGTGTTAATTAAGTGTCTTCTCCGCTTTATTAATCCATTTTTTTTTTATTTTTTATTTTATATTTTTTCTTTTTTTTAAAGAAATAAAAAAAATATAAACAAATTTAATATTATTTACATATTTATTTATATTCAAAAATAAGATTATATAAATTAATAATAATTATTAATATATATATATGATAAATATATATAATAAATTATTTTTTTTTTATTTAATATTATAAATTTTAATTTTTTATGTTTTATAGAAATTTTATCATTTGAGAAAGATTCATAAATATTTACTTATTTTTATATTCTTAAATAATTTAAATTTAAAATTCTATTCATTTAAAAATAATTTTTAAAAAACAATATATAAATATTACTTTAACAAATAATAATGTTTATTTCATTTATTTTTTGCAAAATGAAAAAATAGAAAAATTCATAAAAAAAAAAAAATTCATTTTAACCTGTATTTTTTTTTTTTGAAATAAATAAAAAAACAAATAAAAAAAAATCATTATTTAGTAAAATGATTTCCTTTAAGAAAATTATCAAAATCTGATATTTTCCATTAAAAGTCATTTCCAACAAATATTTTTTTGAAAATATTTTAATAACTCGCTTAATTATTAATCGAAAAGATCCATCCTTTTAAATTTTCTGGGCTTATTTATTCATCTCCAGGGTCACTTTCAAACACAACCTTATGAGTTTAATTCATTTTCGAATTTTCTCCAGCAATAATATTACCATATTAATCTTCCAAATACAATTTATTTGGTGAGCTAAAATATTAAACTATTTAAATTACAGGCTTATTTCCACTATAAGGTCCAAAATTAAACATAGAAAATCCCTATTATTTTTATTAATAAATATTAAAATTAATGTGATTAATCAAACTAAGTCCTTATTTTTATAAATTAGCGGGATTCTTTTATCTATCAAAAACCACTCCTAAATGAACACTAAAATCTGCATATGTTTATTCTATAGATTCTTCTGCATGTATTTGCTTTATTGTTAAATTATTATCTTTAATAAATGCAAATGAATTTTTTATTTTCCTATATAGCTAAGGTTCAACTGATTCTTCGAAAAAATCAAGATCTTATTATTAAAAAGCTTCCAAAAATTAAGAATAAGCAAATTTAAAACCTTAATCAATATTACTAGAAAATATCTAGTGTAATATAGTATATATAAATTGCGTTTTTTAAATATCTATTGTGGCTGGAATTCCACTAAAATTATATGGAATAAATAATTTAAATTATTAGTCTGATATTTGATACACTAATTTATTTGTATTAAATTTATAAAGTTTTTTTATAAACATTTTTAATTTTAGATAAATATTATATAAATATATTTTAAAAAATTATTATAATATACAAAAAAGAATAATCATAATTATAAAGAAATAATAAAATAAATATGAAAATTAATATATATAAAATAATTATATATATTTGTATTAAAAACTATATATATATATATAAATATAAATATATATATATTTATATATTTATTTATATATTTATATATTTGTATATTTATATATTTATATTTTTTTCATTTTTTTCGAAAATTTTTAAATTTTTCTTAATATTAATTTTAATTTAATTATATTTATTATTTATAATATAATTATAAAATATTTTTAAAAACTCAATATTTTTAATTTTAATAATTAATATCATTTATTTTAAATTTAACTAATTATTTATCAACAATACCATTTATTCTATTATTTTATTAATTTAATTTTCTTTCAATTAAATATGCAACATTTATTAATCCTTTGATTCTCTATTTACTTTCATATTATCTCTAAATTTTATTTTTAACTTTTAAAAATTCAATATTATAAAAAGGATTTTAATATTCTAATACTTTTTTTTTATCCCTCATATATTTAAGTTAAGCTAAATGTTAAATATTATAAACCATATCTTCTTATCTTATAGGATTATTCATTTCAAAATAAGTATTATATCCATGTTCAAAATCCTTATCAATAGAAATATAATTTTAGCCTTTCTCATCAATATTTTTCTAAGAAATTAATTATAGTCCTTTCTTATGTTTCAAAGATTTATAAAATTAATTATTTATTAGAGTATTTTAGGCTTCATATTCTTATAAATAATTTCTTTTTTTAAAATCGCTGTTATTATTTATGCACATTAAAGTGAAATTTCCAGTAAACTTACTTTTTTTAAAAAAAGGACTCCCCGAAAATTTTGAAAAAGATTTTTATTATTAAGTTGTAGTAGTGCTGTTTGTTTTTTCGATTTTCTCTTATAATAATTTTATATCTAATTGTTATAATTATTTAAGTTTTTTTGTAGAATTTTCTAATTCATTTTTAAATGCATCTATTCTTTTAGTATTACAATATTATAATATTTAGTCTATTTACTCTTTTTATGAAAAACTTTTTTTGTTTTTTGTTATTTATTGTATTACTTTTTATTATTATATTTATTTATTTTCTAAATTTTAATAGTTTATTTTTTTTATTGCATTTAAAAAGTTTATTGATTGTTTGCTTTTGTGTAAATAATCATCAAAATTGTTACTTATAGATTCATTAATTTAATCTAAAAAAGGTAAAGATTTTTTAATTTAAAAATTGCTAATATTAATTTAAATGTATTTGTTAATTTCTTTATTAGTTTTCATTTTATTTTAAAATATTAAATATTTTTTAATATTTAAGTATTTATTAATATAAATATGTAGAGTAAATATAAAAAATAAATTTTATTAAAATAATTAAAATAAAAATATAATTAATTATTTATTAATAAAAAAAATAAAATATATAATTTATTGTAAATTAATAAATAAATTATTTTTATTTAAATATATATAAATAAATTAATATAATAAATTATATATATATATATATATATTTATATATATATATATATTTATATATATATATACTTTTATTTATATTTTTATTCATAACATTTTTGTCCAATCATATTCGTTCCATATTTTTTTAAATTCCTTTTTTTTATTTTCTAACTGTTCTTTATTTAATTTTTATGGATTTAGTACTTTAAGTTTTTCAATATTAAGAATCTGACAAATAATTTCATGAGCAAAATCATTTGAAAATTATTTTACTTTTTCCACAACATGAGCATATCCGAAAGAAAGGTTAAAATCTACATAAAAATAAGGGAATCCTTTAGGAATTTATTTCTAAATACCTCCTTATTCTTTTTTAATTACGTAAATTTTTTTATGTGTATTCCATTCTGATTCCATGTTTTCCATTGCTTACTTGAAATAAGCACATAATTCTCCCGTAGATTTTCTAGGTAAAACTATACATTCTAATACTAAATGCGGATTTTTTTTAATATGTGCTGCATTTTCAAAAAATAGCACTTCCATGTCTTTTTTATCGAAACAATTTACAAGACATTTTTAAAAATTTCTTACTTCTTATAAAACATCATCATCTAATTCTGTTAAACTTGAATAATGTTCAAAAGGTATTATTTATCCATGAAATATATTTTCATATCTTTCTATATTCATATTATTTAATATATATAAATATATGTATAATTACATTTATTAGGAAATATAAAAGCTGTTTAATAACCTAAAGATATTATTTGTTCGGATAATAATTTATTATTAGAAACACAGTAATTACAGTTTTATATGCTTTTATTCATTTGTCCTTATAAAAAACTTTATACTGTTTATTTCTTCTGTTGTTGCTTTTCTTAAATTTTGACTTATTTTTTGCTTTAATTTTTTCCTTCATAATTATCATAAGTAACTTATTGATCTTCATATTCTTAATCTCTAAGTTCATCTGTATCATATACATTTTTATATTTTAAAAAAAACTCTGCTTAAGCTTAATCATAATTATGTAAATGCTAATTTTCTCTTTTTTCCAATTATATTGCTTTACGACTATATTCTAGAGGATTTTCGAATAATTTAATTGCTTTTTCCTACTCACTTTCTTCTTGAAATTCAATACTACGATGATTTTGACGAAATTCTACTTAAAAAAATTTTTCTTAATTAATTAATAGTTTTTAGCATACTTATCCAACTTTTAATTTTTAACCTTTTTTTTCTTTAGAAATATAAAAAATAGTTAATTAATTTAGATATTTTTTTATTCTAACCATTGGAAAATTCATCCCATAATTAAGTACATAATTAAATTAAATTTTATTCTTAATGAAATGCTTCTTCAATAATTTATTGATTCTTATTATCTTTATTATTTTTATTGTCTTTTTTCCACTTAACTTTTTTAATTTATTTTATATATTAATTAATACTTTTTTTTGTTTTTAAATCTTTTTACTTGTTGAATTTAATTTTTCTTCTTTTAATGGTTTATCTTCAGATTTAATCTTTTTATGTCCTAACATTTATTTTTAATTTTTTTTTAAATAAAATAATATTAAGAAAGTTAATATATGTTTTTTATAGTACTTTTATTAAAAAAATTATCTTTTTAAGACATATATTATATAAAATAAATAAAAAATAATCAATATATAAATAATAATTTTCATTTGAAAATAAAAAAAAGAATAATAATAAAAATTATTTACAATATAATAATTGTAGATTTATCTTATAAATAATAAATAGAATAAAATAAAATCGAAAATTAGAAAATAAAAAGTATTATTTATATTAATAAAATAGTAATATAAATCCACGTAATAAAAAAGTAAATAAAATTTATTTATATATAAATATAAAAAAAAAATTATAATTATAAAATAAATTAAAAATTATAATAAGAATAAAATATGAAAATTACTGCAATATTATTTATATTAATCTTAATCTAAAATACTCTTTCTAGATTTTTAAGAGTTTAACGTTTTAGTGATATATTAGCATCCTTCCAAAAACATCCAAATAAACTAGCAACAGCATTAATATCATCCTTTGATGATTGTAAAAACTGTGAAATAGCCCACTAGTCCTATATATCCTATGCTTTATAAAATGAAGATATGGTAAATGCATTTTTAGTGGATTGTTCTGAATTATGGCAATTCTAAGATGATAGAGATAGATTACCTTCCTGTGATCCTGAATAAAAATAACATTTGCCTCATTTTGTTTTTTTCTAACCTGGACTTAATAAAAGATTACCGAAAAGTATTCCCTATGAAGGTATTCTTAGTCCAGATGCTATATAAGCAAAAACAAAAGAATACATGCCAAATTTTATTAAAGATATCTCTAGTGTGAAATAACTAAACTAATTTTTATCCAATACATAAATATAAGCAAAAGCATTAATTTTCGTTAAAGATTATGAAGATATTCCTATGTAATATATAGCTTTATCTGGTGCATATAAAGGTCAAATTGAAGTAATTTTTTTATTTAAACAAAAAATATATTTTTTTTGATATATATAATAAATTGTTTAGTTTGGTTCTTTTGATTTAAATACAAAAAATATATATTAAAAATATAATATTACTAATCTTCCTTCTTTAGTTTTTGTCACAAATGAAGAAAGCTAAGGAATTTTATATTAAGATGAGTTAGACTATCATAAAATTAATGAATTTTTAAACAATGAATATACTAAAGGAAATTTCGAAGTAAAAAAAATAAATAAAAAAGAAAAGAAAAAAGTCTTTTTTGATGTTTCTAATGAAGTTGTTGTAAATAAAGCCAATTTCGACCAACTTTAAAATATATTGAAAAAAAATAAAGAAAATTTAGTCTTAATTCATTTATATAAAGAAGAATATAAAACAAATAAAATTTTTTAATAAATATAAAACGATTTTAAGTAAAAAATAAATAAATAACATTTTTAATAAATAATAATAAAAAAAAAGAAATGTATTTGTTTATTATGAAATATAATGCTTTGAAGATTTATGTGAATAAGAATTTAAAAAAATCTAATAATTTCCAACCGTAATATTATATGGTTTAAAAAAAACTCCCTCTGACAGATGGGCAATAGATAAATACGATTAAACATAATTTTCTTATGATTTAATAGAAAATGTTTTAAAACCATCATTTTATAACGAAAATTTAGTAAAAAGTGAAGATTAACTTAGATAAGAAATGTAAAAAGGAGTAAAAGAAAAAAAATTTACTGTTTATTATTTCTTGGATATAAATGATGTTTATAATAGAGCTATATGCCTATATATTAGTACACATAGAAGGTTTAGAAAACATTTACATTTTGTGACTTTTTTTAATCCTTTAGAGGCTTCTTAAGATTTATGGGGAGCTCGATAAGGCTTACCTTACGTAGGAGCAGTAATGGAAATATTGGAAGAAGGAACAAATTATAAAAGATAACCCTATGAATATAATGAAATAAATTATTCTAATTTAATTGATTATTTTAATATTTTGTGTAATATTAAGTTAGATAAATTCATTATTAATAATCCTATTTAAGAAATAAAAACTTATGAAGATTATGAAAATATTTGTTAGAAAAATAGTAAAGTGTGTATTCTTGGAATCTTTAGTGGGTTAAAATAGGGAAAATTAAAAAACGATTTGGATGTTTTGTAGGAAGTTAGAACCGTATATTATGATAAAGATTATGATTTTACATATATAGATGGAACTTGTCATATAGAAATTCTTAAATCTTTCAAACTTTAATAAAATTAATTGAATACTGTTATTTATATAGATTAAGATAGAAAAAAGTAAATTTTATATATATATACTTTTTATAATTTTTTATTTATTTTAGATATGCAGTTTTAAATGGTTAATTTAATTTAAATTCTATTTCTGAATTTATAGAAAAAATTAATAATAAAAAATTAACTTAATTTGCAGAAGATATCGATATAGATGATAGAGATTGTGAAAGCTTTAATAAAGCTAATTAAGAAAAAAAATAATAAGAATAATAATAATAATAAAAAAGGAAAAACAAAAGAAAAGATGAATTATGATTTTTTAATATATATAAATATATATATATTGTACTTTCCTTTTTATAAAAAATATGAATTTTATAAATATTATATTAAAAATAAAATATAGAAAAAAATAATTATAAATATTATTAATATTTTAATTTTAATAACTTTAAAATTTTTATATATATCAATTAGGCTATATAATATAATCAATAAATAATCTTTTCCTACTTTAAAAATTTTATAATGAAGGGCATTTAACGATTAATTATGCATCTAAATCATTTATAAAGCTCTATATTATAAATATATATATAAATATATTTATATATTTATTTATATTATATATATCTTTTTATTATTAAAAAATATTACATTTGATTTCATTATAAGTTTTATATCTTTTATTATTTAATTGATTTATAAATTGCAATTTTATAAAATTAAAACTAAATTTCCTTATTAATTTTAGTTTAACTATGAAAACTTTTTTTTTTTTATAAATTAATTTATACAATAAAAAAAATATTTTAACTTTCCATAATAATGTTTTATTTGTTAATGAATTAGCTTATGGATTAGTTTATATATCTTCAAATATCAAATTTTCATCAAGAAAAACTTAAAATTCAACTTCAAATAACTAATTAGTTAACCAATTCTAATTAACTTTATACAAAAATGTAAACTAAACTTTCTTAGAACCAATTATATCATATTTATATTTAAAAAACATTGGAATTTAGCTAATTTAAATATGTTTAGAACTATTTAAAATAAAATTTATTACTCCTTTCGGAACTTTAATATTATCCTTATTTACTTTAAACCTTTTTTTTATATTTTTTGTTAAAATGAATATATAAATATAAATAAAAAAATAATAACAAATATTAATTAGTTTAATTATTAAATTAAAATTAATAAGAATTTTAATTAGCCATATGTTTTGCCATTTAAGGATTCCAATTATTTCCTTTTAAACAAACACAAATAATATCGTCCAAAAACTCTCCCTAAATTAATATTTATCCTAACATTTGTAATCCTTAAGGATATGCATTTTGTTTTTAATGAATTATTAATTTTTCCTTAAATTTTATTTTTTTTGTGTGAAATTATTTGTATATTTTTAAAAATGCTTTACCATTATTCTAATATTTAAGTTTGGGTTATAAGAATTAAAAGGTGAAGTATTTATTTTCTAACCTGGATTCGCTAAATTATTATTCATATTTATTTATTATTATTACTATTATTATTATTATTATTATTATTATTATTATTATTATTAATATTATTTTTATTTTTATTATTATTTTATTAACAAGGTGATTCATCATCACTTATTAAATCTATGACTCCTGAAGAACAACTAGAAGACTTATATTGTAAAGGTGGAACATTATGTTATTTTATTTACTAATTTGTAGTTTATTTATAATTATAATTATCTAAATCTAATAAATTGTTACTGTTTTTATTTTATGGTTAAGAACAATTATTATTTGTTTAAAAAAATTTATTTGGAGTTATTTTAGGTTTAATTTCTTCCTTTTAACTAATTTTTTATTTGAGAGCAAAATTAAACATTATTTAAATATTTTTTTTTAATTTTTTTTTAATATTGTCTTCTTTTTCTATAATAGGAATTTCAAATTATTTAAAAGTAGAATTTATCAAATTTTCCTTCTCGATATTTTTGGATGTTTATTTCCAATATTTAAGTGGAATATTCACAATCGAATTTTTTTCCTTTGAATGTTCTAAATCTAAAAAATCATTAAAAACTTCACAATCGGCTATTTATTTTGCCGATTTTTAATTTTTGAAAGTTTCAGGAGTTAAATGATAACTTTTATATTATAGAGGTTTGTATATTAATTCTTGTGTATATAAAAATTATTCTAACATCATATTTATTTCTGTGTAATATTTTGAAAAATTATCTTAGCTTTAATTTTAAAGGAAATATTTTTGGAGTTTTTTTGCACTTTTTAACCCTGTAGATTAATTTGGAGTTTAAACAATTAATTCGATTATTATTTAATTTGATATTTATATTATGCATGATAATGATTGGTCTAATTAGATTATTTTATCAACTTTTTTTTGTTATGCTTTTTTTTTTATATATTGTGAAAAATCATTATATTTATATAATTTAATTATTTTACTGGATACGTTTAATATATATTCAAACAATTTGTTTGAATAATGAAATGCTAATTCATTTGAAAAATTATTTGCTGATACCATAAATAAGTTTTATCCTTTTTTATTTTATATTATTACTCCTAAAATGTTCATTTTTTTTTTTTAATGTTCTTTCAAGTATTTATTTATATTTAAAGAATATGATATAGGATTAAAAAAAGAAGTAATATATATATATAAATAAAATCAAAAATATTAATATATAAATTATTTCAAATAATTTTAATATATATGAAATTTATAATTCGATAAAAAATTTGTAAAATAAAAATTTATTAATTATTAAATATTTAAATATTAAATCATAAAGAAAAATCATTAATTTATTTTTAAATAATTCAATTTTTCTATTATTAGTTTTATATTAAACAACAATAATTTATTACTATATTTTTAAAATTACTAAATAAGCTTCTATACATTTTAATTAAGAATTTTATATGTATATTTATTTTTAAATAGCATAACCTTAAATCTAATATTAAACATATTAACTAAAATATTTCTACTTTTAAAAATTAGTCCCTTAAACCGGACTTCTTTATTTTATTTATTAACTAAAATAAAAAAATTTATTATCCCTTTTTTATTTGGTTATGCTTTATTAAATTTTATTCAAAAATAGAATTATTAAATTTTTAACATGATAAATATTTTCAACTTAATTTTGTTTTTAAAATTAATATATATCTCTTAAAATAAAAATTACAATATTTTTTTTTCTTTTAATTATTTATTTTAATAATATTAATATAAAATTCTTACATAATCATTTTAAGATTTTCTGTTAATATTTTTTTTAAAAAAATAAAAGTTTTTATAAATTTTTTTTGATTTAAATAATATTAATATATTTATATTTGAATTAATTTTTTTGTCTAAACAGTTAATATTTACTAAACTTATCCTAAAAAATCTATATTTTAATTTTCTAATTCAATAGAACTAACATTTAATTAAGAAATAAAATATATCGCTATATCTTCTTTTTTTTAATATTTTTTATTTTGGCGCGTATATCATCATTATTTTGTTAATCAATTTTAATTGATTATTCAATAAATGTTTAAGAAAATTATTTTAAATAAGATTTAAAACAGTTTTTAAATAATACAAAAATAATTATTATTTTTAAATAAATTCTAAATATTTAAAATAATTTAAAAACCTTTACTATAAAATTTTGTAAATATTACTTTATTATAAATATTTTAAATCAATATATCTCATTTTATTTATTCTAACAATTTATATCTATCTATATTCTTAAAATAAATAAATTCACTTTTAAATATTTTATTTATATTAAAAACTTTAATAAAATAAGCCTCAAATAAACAAACATATTTAAATTAAACTAACATTAATTAATTTATAATTCGGTTTTAACTGATAAAATTTTTTGTCAAATATAAATAAATCATATATGTATATAAATATAATATTGTTAATTAATTTTAATTTAAATTCAATATAAAAAATTAAATATATTTTTTTGTTAAAAAAGATTAATAAATATTAGCATAAATTCTATGTCATATAAAAAAAAACTTTTTATTTCAATAATATAAAGATTTCATTTCTTAAAAAGTTTACTTATAAAACTAATTCTATTTTATTTACTTTTTTTTATCTTATTTTGTTAAAAAAAATTTAAAGCAAAAAATATTAAGATGTATATTATAAATATATATATAAATATTTATATATATTTATATATATTTATATATATTTATATATATTTACCTAACCATTTTGTAATCATTTTATTATTTTCTTGCCCCGAAGATATGTATTTGTTATCTTTCACAACAAATCTTTTAGAAGTTCCTAAATAATTTACTTTTGGCAAAGACACTTTATCAATTTTTTATTAAAATTATGTCTCAAAGCTTTAATTCTCAGTAAAATTATAAGAACCTTTTTTTCATAAACTTTTATTTTATCAAAACATATATTTAGATATAAAAATATATACAAACATCAGGAAATATTGATTTAGATTTCTTTTTAGTGTTATCTTTATGTTTTTAAATCCAATCAGCTGGCTTTGTTATATTTGCTTATACTTTATGTTAAATTAGCTTTTTTTAATTCCAATAAATAATTTATATTATCATTATTTTTATATTTACTTTTGGATTATATTAGCGAGGTCCTGATAGATTAAAACTTAAATGCTAATATTTAAATAAAAAATCTTCTTTTTCAATAAATCTTATTTTAATTTAAAATATTTTATATGTTAATCATTAAATTAAATAAATTACTTATGTTATTTAATTTTCATTTCATTTACTTCTTTTTTAACTTTTTTCTCATTTTTTTACATATAATATTTTCTAGGTCCAGGAAGTGGTCTTTATTTTTACCCGTTAATAATTAAATCAATATAAGTTTATTTTTTAGTATTACAAGGAAGTTTTCCTTTCTCAAAATCTGCATCTAAAATCAAAGGTTTTTGAACTTTATATTAACCGAATGAAGGTATTTCTTTTTTATTTTTATAATTATGATCAAAAAACGAATTTTTTTTTGTATCATATGAATTTGGGATTGTTGGTAATTGATTTTTTCCACTTTATTCTTAATAATCACTATCATAAACTATTTATATTGGATTAACAATTTATCTTTATAAATAATTTCCTTAAATTCCATATTCTTATTTTTTAGATTAAATATCATAAATATTTTATACTAAATTGGAATATCATAATAAATATGTTTTTTTAATATTACTAGTATTTAAAGAAGGAATTTATTTATTAACTTAAGATTGCATTAATTAAATTTTTAAAATTTTTCTTAATAAAAAAAAAGATTATATAAAAAAAAAATTGATGTAATAATTTTTATATAAAGTAGATTAAGTAAAATTATTATAATAAATTATATCTATATATATATATATATATATATTTATGTATAATT